AATCTTTTAAATTTAAATAGTAAAAAAAAAATAACATAATGTAGGAAACTTTAAATAGGGATTCCAAATGAAAATTAAAATCTAAAGTACTTATATTAGTACGTGACCAATATCTACCACTTTCTTTATATATTTTTACCGGGTAAAAATTAGAACCCCGGGATAAAAATGGAAAGACTCTACTGATGATTTTACAAAGTCACCGTCACTCGGAAGAATAAGAATAAATCTAATAATAAAAATGAATAAATCACATTGGATGCCGTCATTATCTGAATTATAATAGTTATTATTATTCGGTGGTGCCGGCGATTCTAAAGGTCCTTTATTATTTTTCCTAATATCCGTGTTATTATGGGGATATCCTATGTATGTGATAAGAGTAAGTAATCACTTGTATCTATTAATATTTTATCTGTACTATAATCACTTGGAAATTGAACTTTACACATTGTCACTTAAGTAAAATGACACTAGACACTTTTATATACTTTATCATTATAATTGCAATTGCAATATGTTTGCCGATTAATTTAGACGAGACAGTGTACGTACGTACACATAGGACTACTTCGGTTTTTACATACTAGATGACAATTGGGGGACATTTTCTTTTACTAAATCTTTGTGGAGAAACCATACATGAACTCATAAAGACTACCACTGGATATTACTAACCGCTTACACTGATCACGAACATGGCATCGAACAAATATTAATAGGTATGTGCAATATATGTATATATATCTAGTACATGTATATTGGCTTTATGAACTTAACTACTAACAAGATTTTTAATTACAAAAGATACTCATATTTAAGGGACCTCTCTAGGTCGCTATCAAAATCCTTTTTCGAGAGGACCTATTGTGAACTTGACTGCATTTTATGTATGCCTTCCGGATATATGTGATGAACAAAACTTATTCCACGAAGAGACCATTTGATCTGAAATAACCTGACATAGTGCTAATTTAAATTTAAAAAAATACTCATATTCAAAATATTGATATTTTGTTTGATTATATACAATTGCAACCGTACTAAGATTTTATGGGAATTACAATTAATTTAACACTATTTATGTAATTAAAACTTGTTATGCTTTTTTGTAATAATAAACTAGTCAGTATTCACAGGTTGCCATGTTCAATTTATTACCGACCTATAAAAAATAATGTTTGTTTTATTATTCATAGTTATTGTTTAATATACAAATAAATACCTATTTGTCGATTATAATTGGACATACGTACGTCTGTGGTAAAGTTATAAAAACTGTATACAGTTACTTGCACGTGGCACAAGTTAGAAAAGTTTTTAATGGATACATAACTGTCTCAATGATAAATGGCCATTATTATTACGTTTAGATCAATATCAATTTCATTCAAAATTTTTACGATATGACGTGTATGTTTATCTACTTGTTATTTCTTACAGTAAGTAGGTAATTATTAAAAGAAACTATACTATAAAAATAATCAAATTTTACAGTACAGATATATTGATAGATTGTTGTATTTAATGAATTTACGATTGACTTTAATAAAGTCTATAGATAATGTGTTTCACTGTTGATTTTATCTATTTTATGTATTCACTAGCAACTCGCCTCGGTTTTGCATCTAACTAATGTGTAATTCTACCAAGTTATAGGTACAAAGCCATAATGAATTATATACCTAAACATTCCTTAGAAATCAGTCGGTTGATAGACGAAAACCGCATGAAAAGCTGTTCTATGTGAAAAATATTTTAGTTAAAATACTTGTGAATTATCTATTTTATGTTACTAACGGACAATACAATGAGAGTGGTAATCGTCACACATACATACACAACGTACTACTCATATTGGTCCATGCCTCCGTAACTTGTAATTTTACTTCACAGGTTCCATCATTAACAATTCTTGTTGTTGTTCAACGTGATGATCTACCTAAATAGTTCAGGGTATTGGGTTGCAGATATGCTAATATAAGAAACCAGAATTAAAACATATTTTATAACAGTAGAGATCTACTCTCTAGACGTATAAATACTATATTGTAGTGATTGCGTTAGGTATAGGTAAAAGATGAGCTGAACTGTGTGACATTCTAAGCTAGTTAAGTACTTAGATTATTTTTTAAATGATGACTAGGGAATGGTTCATTCGCTTACGCTAACGGTATAAGGGGGGGATGTAGCATCGATATGACAGTATGACATAGTCATGTCAGTTTTCCTTTCCTAGCTCTAAGTAATAACCACGATGAGTTCCAGTTCTAGGGCAGATCATCAACTGCTAACGGGCTGATTTTTTATCTTTATATCAGTTCTACGATAGTTGTAAGTATTTTACTCATTTATCTGACAACGCTAATAGTACAGTCATTTGGTGCTAAAAAATGAGGTTACCTGGAAAGTTTCCGAGAGTTTTGAAAATTGATAATTTTATAGATTTCAGTGTGCTCTTTTCAGGTAGGTAAAACTACCAAATGATTGTACTATAAGCGCAGCGTACATATTTATATAGATATACTAGCTGTCCCGGCAAACGTTGTTTTGCTATAAAATAAAATAAAAATTTAGAGGTGGACTACCCCTAACATTTAGGGGGATGAATAAATAGATGTTGGCCGATTCTCAGACCTACTCAATACGCTCACAAAATTTCATGAGAATCAGTCAAGCCGTTCCGAGGAGTATGGGAACGAAAACTGACACGAGAATTTTATATCTAAGTACTAAGCTACGCATATACAAAACGTGGAATTTTTCTAAGAGGTACTGAATTCTGAGAGTAAATTGAAATTATTTTATGTAATTAAATTAAATTGAGCTTTTTTGAGATAAAAGTAACAAATACAGAGATAGATACATTAGGACTGAACAATATCGCAAACGTTGTGGGGCGTGTCGCTTAGTGGCTGTCTTCATAATCTTGTGCGTAGAAAAATCGACCCCTAATTTCATCATTTTATTCCACGACGACTGTTTATGTGACGAAAAATATGTATCTCTTTTTTAGGTCTCTCTTAATTTTTTTTAATTGAATGAACGGTGTTACATTGCAAATACAGTGGGTGTTTTCAAATGTCATCCATTACCATATTGGGGTGTTTCATTTCCATGTATACGGGTGAAATTGAAACTAAATTCAAGGTCTCGTGTAATAAAAAATAACTAACACCGGACTGTTATGATACAAATTGCAGTTTATAGGTAGTAACTTAAGTAATAAAAGAAAATACGGAAGAATAATCTAAAACATTTTATTTAATATTATAAACATCAAATAACAATAATGGGTATTAGACAGGCATGTTCATATTTATATTTTAGTCAACCAACTGTGTAAATATTAGCACTCACAATAACTGTCTGCTATGTTAATGTAATTACATATAATCTACATATAAAATAGATAGTTGTATGTATGTATGATATTTGATAACTGATATAATATTATTTACTGAGGCCCGCCCGGGTCTTAAACTCTAAGAGTTTTGTATATATTAATATAATATATATTCACTCTGGAAGCGAAATGCTTTCAAACACTTAAAAATTTATTCAAATTGCTGCAGAGATTCCTGAGTTTACTTTCGTAAAATACGCACTAATTTTCTTTATAATGTTAGTTTAATATTAACGTCATATAATAATAATCATGGAAATTAGATACACATTTATATTTTAGCTAATCAATTACATCAATATTAATATTTCACAGTAATTGTTAGCGCTATAGGAAATTTTGAATAATCAGTATATACATAAAATATCAAATAAATAATTGTGCATGTTACTTGATAACTGATATAATATGATATAATATTTCACAGTCTCACTTATAATATAATAGATACAATATCAACACTAAATATCACAAGTCTTATACACATCAGTCAATATGCATATTGTAAATAGCACAACGGTCACCGACTGAGACAATTTCATTGTCATAATTATAAACCTTTCTTATCAATATGCATTTACAATGTGCAATTTATCTAATTTTATCTTATATACCACATACACATAAATCTTAAAAATAAATAAATTTGATATAAAATATCAAAAAATAAAAATATCACTTGATGCTGGAGCACACGTTTCTCTACAATCGCGGATTACTCGATATATGTAATAAGTAGATACTATACACATACTATATACGTTTACACATGAGGTCGTTACTTAATAAAATATGTGGTATATAATACTGATGTGTTGTCTACATTTATCAATTACATTGATAAATTGTTAATACCCAAAAAGAAAATATATTATATCTTTCTTATTTTCATTACAACTGAAATTGACCGAATTTAATGCTAGGGAATTTGCAAATATTTAGGTTTTATGTCGTAAAAAAAATATATTTTTATATTTTATTTGCAAAAAATTGAGCTTCATTGAAGAAATTTGGGAAGACTAAAAGGACATTTAAATAGCAATAATGAATAAGAAAATGCTATGCTATTTATTCACTTTTAGTGAATTTAAATATGGCTGTCTTGTAGACAAATGTAGACATAATTAATATATTTCTAGTTAATTATGATTAAATAAGAGACAATAACTATTCAAATGGACCAGCCAATAATTACACAATAAATACAAATAAATACCTAAATCTTATCTTGACAAATCTTAAAAAACATAAGCTCAGGACAAAACTATATATGGAAATCACCATGCTATTTTTAATAGCCATAATAGGAATGTGCTCAATTTGTACTTCATTAAGATAAATTTAAACAAATTCAGTCATAAGATGTAGAGAGTATAATTTAAAATTATTCTGTCTGATTCAAATATTTCTCATTATTATCAAAACATATATAATTCTTTTAGAATTATCAGTCATTTTACAAATTATTAATATAGTTAAAAGGGTTCAGTTCATGATGACCATGGCTAAAACCTTTATTTGCCACTAAATTATGCATGCTAAAACCCGTTTAACTATATTAATAATGTGTAAGGCGAAAGTTTAAATACATATCTGTGTAGCTTTAAGTTTTTACTCATGAAAAGGTAGGTCTGCATATGTTTTGTAGTTTTAGAAATTTAAGTCTATATAACTTATGTAACATGTAATACACTTTAATCATCCTTTGGGTTAATTCTTATAGCGGCCTTTTTTTCATCCGGTGAGTGATCCTTATCGCCCCATCCCCATAAATGGTGAGAGCCGTCACCGGTGCGTTTAACTCGGGTTTGAATAATCTCTTCAGAAACAGTTTTCAAATCATACGCCCAACCGATTTTGGCAAACAAGTTAATGAAGTGTGTAGTGAAATTTAGCCTGTTGTTGCCAAGTTCGGCAGTTTTGTAATCCCAAGGGAATGTATGATGGTAATTGTGGAAGCCCTCTCCGAGTGCAAATAATGAGACTGAGATATTTTGGGAAGGCTTGATGTTCTTGTCATAGGGTTTATCACCCCATTTGTGGGCTGCCGAGTTGACAAGCCAGGTAACATTTAGGATGAATGCATACCGGAACAAGGTTGCGACAAAGAAAGCGTTTGTCCATGTTTCATTCCAGAAGTATACAGGAACAAGAGTCGGCAAGACGAAGCAGACGATTGGCATTAGAATTAGGTAATATCTGTAAAAAATAAATAAAAAATGTTTAAATACTGTATATAGTTGAAATATGTTTAATATCATCCTTAAATAATAGATGATTATATAGGGTGATATAATTACTCAACTTACTTCTTCTGGAACCTAAGAATGGGGTCGGCATATAAGTCACTGAGGTCTAGTCCTTTGCCCTTCTTCTTCAATTCAGGGTGTTTCCTAACTAAAAGCCAGCCGATGTGTGAAAAGAAGAAGCCACGTGTGGCGTTGTGAGGGTCGGCGTCAGTCTCTGAATATTTGTGATGCATGCGGTGATCACGTGCCCAATCAATTGCAGAGTCCTGTAGAAATAAGAATTAGATAGTTTTATTAAGTATATAGAAATAGAAATTGAGGGCCTCGGTAGTCTAGCGGTTTAGCACACCACTTTACTTCCGATAGTCGCAGGTTCCATTCCTCACATGGTATAAATATTTGTATTGATGAGTACGATTGTTTGTATTGGTCTGGGTGTGTTTTTTATTATACTAGCTACTCGCTCCGGCTTTGCCCGGGTGTACATGTATTATACATATAAACCTTCCTCTAGAATCAATCTGTCTATTTAAAAAAACGCTACAAAATCCGTTGCGTAGTTTTAAAGATTTAAGCATACATATGGACGGACAGACAGCGTCTTTTTTTATACTATGTAATGATTATGTAAATATTTCCAAAAATAAATGTATTTCCCTTAGCTTACGCTTGGCGTTGTGGGAAATGTCCTGTTTTATTATTTTATTATTATATGACGAAACGTGTTTTTAAATTAAGTTGTGATATATTTTATAGCTAATCAATTGCACAATTAAAAATTTTTAAGTTTAAGCTATCAAACATTACGAATTATTAATAATAATTACTTAACTAAATGAATCTAACTAGATTCAATTACTTAAGTAATTATCAAATTAGATAATAGATTTGTTTTTATAAGAATGCAATGTGACTCATCACGGCATTAATGATTGATTGAAATAGAGAGATTGAGTATATCCTATGTTTAAAGTAATTTATTTAGAATGCACGTTTTATTTTTTATAACTCCCTACTGTCGAGTTCGGCTAGCTACTTAAGTTGATAAGTACATACTGGCAAAAAGCTCAACTTGTATATGTGTTCCACATCTAGTGCAGGTAGGCGTTTTAAACCCACAATTCAAATTCAAAATATCTTTTTTTCGCAACCGTTTTTCGTTCGCAACCTGAACAGACCAGTCCCAATAAGAACCAACTTAAATTATTACAAATTTGACAGAAAAACAACAACACATATAAGCTATCAATAATACTAACAAATCAAAAAATGAATTAAAATCCATTCTAAATTGCAGTTTGTATCTGTCTATGACAATAACGAACAATGGTTATTGGTGACCATGCCAATTTGGAAAAAAGTACACTCAATTGACAACTTCCGTATCTTTGAAGTCGTTTGATAACTAAACGCTCAATTACAGAACCATCGTCATAATAGTCTGTAGCAATTTGGTTTTCATTTGGCTAGATATTTTCTAGCAATCTAGGTATCTCCCTAGTCTAGCAACGTTTGTTTGAGGACAAATTGCATTTATGTTAGCACGCAATTTCATTAAGTTGTATTTTGACACAAAACTATACGGATTCTCTCGTTTACTCAGCCTTGAGGGAAACACCCGTGTGAGTACAAACATTAAAAATGGAAAAATTAAACAATGTGAACATTGCGACATAAGAACATTATGTAGTTATTAAAACTGTAAACATCCTTTGTAATCTTACAATACACAATAGAGAAAAATGCAAATTAAACTACCAATTCAAATTTGCATTTTTTGTTCAGGACGATATTTTAAATTTTTTCTAAATGTTTCGCCAGTAGAAGTAATATGTAGAAAAATAAATAATTTATCTGAGGGAAATGCCCCTAAAAAAGAAATATTGTCTAGCACTAGTCAACATGCAGGTATTTCAGATTTCTTAATACGTCAATTATCTTCGAAATTTACCTCAATTATTTCGATCGACTTATTACATTTACATTATTTACAATTTGTGAAACAGGAGAAATATATTTGACAATTATCGCTGCCTACCCCTTCAGAACACCGACGTGAGGATAAAAGTATTATATATAATTTAGTGTTTACAAGTCGTAGCTTTGATCTCTGCATGAAAGGTATGTACAAATGCTAATTGTAAACGCCAACAAATTACTTATGTCTGACGTTTCGTGTAAACACCGTTAACAAATCTCATTACTTTAGAATCCTGGCGTAGTTGGCCACTCGTTAGGATGAAACAGTTAAATTTTATCAAAACCTAATAATAAAGTTAAAAAATCGACATGATGCTTGTGACTTTTATGTAAACACCATTAACAATGTAATTACTTTAAGAGGTTATTTGTGGGGCGTCCTCCGATTACAATGAAACATTACAAAACTTGATATTAACAAAAACTCATTAATACAATGTTACCAGTAAGACAAGTTGTACTTTGTCATATTTTTGTAAGGTTGACTCAAGTTGAACTTTGGCATCCCAACATCACTCTATCTGATAAAGTAAATTCTGATGTCACCATTTACAAATTAATTAGTCATATATTATCATATATTATTATTGTATTAATGCATTATAAGTGTGAAAATTGATACAGACATCTTAATTATATTAATTTTTTTTGATGTTTTTTTACTAAATTATGCATAAATTATGCAAAAGGCTGAACCAAACAATTTTAATATAATTTGGTACACAGATAGTCTAAATTACATTTAATCTTAAGTCTCTACTGTATTAGCAGTAAGTACCTAATAGTATTATTTAATTCCAGATGAGGCAAAAAACATCCTATCACAATTGGTAACCAAAATGTCCTATCACATTAAAAAAAACCATACTATAATAGTATGGTTTTTTTAATCTCAAATTACTTCAATAAACAGTTTAGTCTACATAATATATTTATTTTTAAATAATAACTTACCTGGAAAGCCAAAGTGTTAAATGCAACAAGGATGAGTCGTAGTGGCCATTTAGCTCTGTACGACTTGTGCGCCCACAGTCTATGAGCTCCTGCTGTGATTCCAAGACCAGACATGACATATAAAGCATATGCTGCAAAAAAATGTAGGTAATAAGAAACAAGTTCAAACATCAAATGTCTCAATCTCAATCAATAAAACTTAATTATGAAATTTAAGATGAAATGAATACAACTTTGTTATATTTATTAATAGCAATACCTCATTGTTTCAATGATTTGCACATTTTACTTAAGTCTAATCTAATATTAATTGGTATCAAATCACATATTACCAGAATGTTAAAAAAATATTTGGTTATGCAATTTGTTATTAAAGACTGATAATAAATATATAATTAAGTAATTTGTAATAATTTATTGTTACTTCCTATGCCTGATAGATTATTTTATTTATTATAGAGTACTAATTATTTACTCTATACTAACCAAACACTAGAAAATAATAACATCTGATTTTTATAGAACTCTTATTTATGATTAAATTTAGGCACTATAATAAAAGTCTTAAACTTTAATAAGGACTGCATAAAACATAAATGAATTTTTATTTATTTAATGGGAATGGCAAAACTTATTATAGGTCAGTAGTTAAACAATCATCCAGACATTGACAAACAACAACAGACACATCACATGTATTGATACCAAATGTACTCTATCTTACATGGTGGCAGAAAATAAAAAAACACTATCTGAAATGCCAACATAAAGTATTATACTAAAATAGGAACCACATAATTTTAGACGATAACATTCCCATCATTCAAATTGTTTACCAAACATACATTTCATCATGATAAGGAATAACATATCAGAGCCATGCTTACCAAATATATCAGTTTGCCATTTTGCATGAAAAAGGGACAGGTATCCTCCATATAATGCCGCTAAGTGGAGATATGCAAAGGCGATGATGTTCCTCCATACATAAATTTTTGGATAGTTGTCTGCTTTCTGAATAGGTTTTGTGTCAAGAGCAAAGTCTGCTGTGGTTGCATCACTCTCAAACAACACTCCGTTGATATCTGTGACATTAGGTGCCATTTTGCACGGGTTTGTACTCTGTAAAGGGATATTAATCTTAATTACATAATCTAAAAATAATATTTTATTATGTATATTACACCTATTCATAAAATTTATTATAAGTTTCATAATAAGTCACTAAGTAAGGATTTTAAGGATTTGTATCAAAAGTTGTATGAGATTGAGTATTTTGTGAGTTCTTCCAAACAAGAATAACATAATCATATACTAATGTTTAAAGTATTAATTTAGAATAATAATAAATACAAATATCAACTTTTAATTTCAATAATTTAGCATAAATTAGGGATAATTCTTTAGAACCATTTTGTCATAAATGTTAACAATTTTATTTACAGTTCCATATAGTGTAGAGGTATTCAAAAAATTTAAAATCTACTTAAGTATTAATATCGGGGAAATAATGATTAAATTAATAGTAAAAGTATAAATAAGAAATACTCAACATATTTATAATTATTTTTTTAACATGTTGAAAGAACCAAATATTTTATCCAATTTGCTTAGTAATTCTGTATTTCGATTGTATTTTTTATTCACAGTACGGCAAAATATTAAAAGGAATTTAAGAACACTTAATTTAGTTGCGTTACAGTACATTAACACGTATCACATAAAATATACAATTGTTTGTTTACCTTTTCTCTTATCATTAAAGTATATTCAAGCAAAGCAAACTTATCTTAATTATGTAACTTTGGGTATGGATAGAAATATAATCAGATTTTAATTTAGAGATCTATCATTTCCTTTGATGTGACATATTTTTTTTATCTGTTTATTCTACACCTATACCTTTATAAGGCAAAGGCAGTGATTTGACTTGTTTAATTTGACGTTGACGCGAGGTTTTTTTAATTAAGTATAAAATTGAATACGTAGACAATAATGAAGAAACTAATGAAACTAATATAATAATATATTATACTTTATATATTTATTACGGTATATTATTTTATCTCATATAATTAAAATAAATAGAGAACTGGCCAGAAACTTAGAGGTTACAAAAAAATACTTGACTTAGAAATATATTTTGAACTAAACTGTATTATATTTTTATTTAAAGTAACGAAATATTTTTTAAAATAATAACTAATAATAATAAATACTTACCTACCTCAAATGGTGGTAGTCGTAAAACTTAGTCGTTTTCACTTTTAACACGTTAGCTAAGGATAACAATATAGTATGTTATGAAGATAAAATAACTTTTGTGCACATATTTATAGTTCAAAGATAAAACGTGCGTATTAATTAGTCACGAGAAGCCGGCAAAATCGATAAGTTCACGTGTTAGACAATGGACCACACGTTTTTTAAGATTTCACAGCGGCCGTGGTCCATCCGATAAAAAGATAGAAGGTAGATGAGTCCAATAGAAAAGAAATAGAAACGTCAATGTTGAATGAAATTATTCTAGCTAGCAAAGCGACAAAGATAATGAAAGCCAAAGACTAGACGACTCACTCGCTCTGACTGACGGTATATATGTAATATACATACGTATGTCGTACATTCTGTGTACCGTTATTACACCGCGTTACACCATTGAAGTGCGGCCAGAACTATACAATGGGAGACGGGGATTGGACAATAAAGTGGCGCGATAGTACGACCACCACGTCACTCGGTCACCCAGCGGTTGAAGATGTTACGACCACGGATTCAACATGATATCATGAAATGTGGTGAATACCGGTGGATGAATTTAATTTCATATTCGTTTATGTTTTAACTGACTTTTAGAAACGAGTAACACACATCAACACTCAATTCATCTGTGTTGTTTTTTATCCTTCAAATTTTTCCTAGACACAGTTTGTCTAGGAAAAATTTGAAGGATAAAAATTTGGATGATTCTTTTTTATTTAAAAGATGGTAGGTACTTACATATGTGGTCCATATGAAGACCTAACCAGTGCCTAGTTTTGAGTTCAGCGTAAATAATAGTGCGTATTTGAAATATTACTTGTCAATCTATATTTCAACGTTATCGATTGAAGTTGGTTGTTTTGTAGCTTCAATACGCGTATTGTTTATTATTTTTGAACACCCCACATTTTCCTAACAAATATAGAACAAAGTCCAAATATGGCTCCATAGTTCTATCATTTCATTCTTTGTCTTTATGGATTTATAACGGTATTCTAGAATACCGCGGTAGGACAGTCTCTAGGTCTACATTAATACATAATTTAAATATAAATTACATAAAATTTGACAACTGTGACATTTTTCAAACAGGAAATAGGCTGACTGCCTACATGATGATAAGCGTGAAATTCTAAACGTTGCGTTTGTACATGAACAGCACTACGGATAAAACGTTTTCGTGTGGCAATACCACTCTGCGTTGTCATTTCTGAGGACTAAGATGTCATGTCTCTTGAACTGTAATTTCACTTCCTAATCTCCACCGTACAACTGAAACACAGCTAACAAAATAAGCTGTTGGCGGCTGACATGGCACACAGGTGACACTGTAGGCATTAGGAGAATTTTAGTAATCAGAACTCGTGGCCCCTTTACTATCAATGTAGGTACTCTATCAGGTTGACCTCACTCGGTCCCCCTCGAAACCATCGTGGTTATTAACTATACATAAAAAAAAATAGATAACTGAGGTACGTACGCAAACGACTTTGTGCAGTTTCCCACCAGTTTAGCAGCAGAATTGCCCAGTGCCCTTCTTAACAATCAAATTGCCCCCTTTGGGGCTTGGGCCCCGCACGGGGCTACAAATTTAAAACTTTTTTACAGTCTTGATTAAATAAAAATAAACATGGCGATATTCAAAGTTTAAATATATTTTTTGGTAAAATATAATAGGGGGTGTTAATTATATTTGGTTAAATTATTATTAAATATTGTTTCTTTATTGGGTCAGGGCCGGCGCTAGGGTCCTCAGCGCCCGCATGCAATTTTTATCCTAACGCGGTTAATGTATCCGTATAGTTAAGTTACATTATTTATTATAATTTATTAAGTATTCTATAGATTCTATATTTGAATAAAATTAAAGTATATATCCGAATCTCGTGATGGCGCCCCCTTCGACAAGGCGCCCGCATGCGTTTCCGCCGACCCTGGTCAGAGTCCGTATTCCACGCGGACACAGTCGCGGGCACAGCGAGTTACTAATAAACGCGAATGTAAATGTCTCTGTCGCGCTTTCTCGCCAAAACTACTTAATCGATTTAAAAGAAATTTGGTGCACAGATAGTCTGGACTCTGAGAAATCACGTAGGTTACTTTTTAAGCCAAAAAATGTTTGTAAGCGGTTGAAACGGACATGAAATGCTACATGGAAGTATCGTCATTTTTAAATGTAGAAAAATAAAACTTATTTTTTATGTTGATTAAATATAAGTAAATACTTATGACAGTCAAAGTTTGTAAAATTTTATCATTAGGGGGTAAAATAAGAAGAGGGATGAAAGGTTTTATGGCAATTGTAATTTTGAAGTTAGAACGATGAAACATATTTCTTTGGCTTATTTAGGTTAAATAGGTATTATGTTTGTTTCATTCGTCAAGAGTAGGTATATTGGTTACTTTTGTATTTAGTTAGGTGTTATTATTAATTGTTGTGCATTTTTATATACGGTAGGTTTAAAAATAGTTAGCAATTAAAAATGCTATCCTGAGGTCAGTACACCACGCAGACGAAATCGCGGGCATAGCTTGTTTGAAAATAAGTATATCTTATGGCCATAGGTGCTCTCTATTCTCTCCACAGGTATATCTGTTTAAAAAGGAATCTTTTTGTCATTGTCTACCTAATCAGTAGATTTCTTTTCTTATGTGTAGAGAAAGGGTTTAAATCTTCTCAAGAATACTCACAAATTTTTCTATTATTTAATATTATCGTATTAAAAATAATTTAGTTAGCATAACTTCGGATTCCCAATAAGAAAGATTGGAACTACTATTAAATAAACTTTTGCGTTGTATACCCGTATGATATAGATATAATAGGTATCTATGTGTATTGAATATTCACTGAAGCAAATTTTACCCGTATATGGGCAAATTAGAAAACAAAATATGTAAGATGCATCTAAAAGATTTTATTTAATATTATAACATCAAATAACAATAATTTTAAAGACACTTATGTTCATTTTTATAAATCAATTAGGTGAATAATTACACAGTAATTTTCTGTAATGTAAATATATTCTGAATAATCTATATACATAAAATATCAAATAAATTATTGTGCATGTTACTTGATAACTGATATAATATTATATAATATTTCACAGTCTCACTTATAATATAATAGATACAATATCAACACTAAATATCACAAGTCTTATACACATCAGTCAATATGCATATTGTAAATAGCACAACGATCACCGACTGAGACAATTTCATTGTCATAATTATAAACCTTTCATATCAATATGCATTTACAATGTGCAATTTATCTAATTTTATCTTATATACCACATACACATAAATCTTAAAAATAAATAAATTTGATATAAAATATCAAAAAATAAAAATATCACTTGATGCTGGAGCACACGTTTCTTTAGAATCGCGGATTACTCGGAAGGTATTATATTGAATATCTGTGCGAAGTAGATACTATATACGTTTACACATGAGGTCATTACTAAATAAAATATGTGGTATATAATACTGATGTGTTGTCTACATATATCAATCACATTGATAAATCTAAACTGTTAATACGCATAAAGAAAACATATTATATCTTTCATGACTTCATTATAACTGGGATTGATCGAATTTGACGCTACACTATAAAATTGCAAATAGTATAATTTATATGTTTATTTGAATATTTTACTAGGGTGTTTCATGAGTAAATAAGGATCAATAAATATTTAAATGGATAATTACATGATAAACATAAATAAATACCTATAACTTGTATTGACATCTTAAAGACATATTTGCTCAGTATAAAATCGTATATGGTAATAACCACAAATAGTTGCCAAAAGTTTGCACCGGAAAGTACTAATTTGGCAGAACTTAAACAAATAATGTAATGTGTAAGAAATTAAAACCAATTACAACGACCAATTTAGCAATAACCATTTATCATAAAGAATTTAACATGAAATATTAATGATCTTGATAGGAATGTACTTAATTATTATTTTTATACCCAAGTCATTAAAATGAATTTAAATAAGTCTAGTCATTATGGAGATGTAGAGAGTTTAAATTAAAATATTCCTGTCATTTCTCATTCAATTTTTTGTCATATGTATTGTTACTAAAAGTACTACAAATATTTTTAAGTGTAGCATAAAGTTCTTAGCTATAATTTTAATATTTTAGAAATTTGAATTATTGAAACTGTTTTTATTTTATATATTTACACGTATGCTTTAATCATCCTTTGGGTTAATTCTTATAGCTGCCTTCTTTTCCTCTGGTGAGTGATCTTTGTCGCCCCATCCCCATAATTGGTGAGAGCCGTCACCGGTGCGCTTAACTCGGGTTTGAATAATCTCTTCAGAAACAGTTTTGAGGTCATACGCCCAACCGATTTTGGCAAAGAAGTTAATGAAGTGTGTTGTGAAATTTAGCCTGCTGTTGCCAAGTTCGGCTGTCTTGTAATCCCAAGGGAATGTATGATGGTAATTGTGGAAGCCCTCTCCGAGTGCAAACAATGAGACTGACATATTCTCAACAGGCTTGATGTTCTTGTCATAGGGTTTCTGTCCCCATTTGTGGGCTGCAGAATTGACTAGCCAGGTAACGTTTAGGATGAATGCATACCGGAACAGAGTTGCGACGAAGAAAGCGTTTGACCATGTTTCATTCCATAAGTATACAGGAGCGAGAGTCGGTAAGATGAAGCAAACGAGAGGCATCAGGATCAGGTAATATCTGAAAAAAGTTATTAAATTCCATAAATTTATAAAAAAAAACTTAATTATCATCATATATTTTTTTAAATTTGGTTTGTACAAACGTACGTGTAATAATAAACTTATATTACTATTAGTACTACCCAATTAAGATACGAACTGTATTGACAAGGACATATAATTGTTCTCTTATGATGAGATAGGCATATTTTTTTACTATAATTGTTAGATTGAAGCCAGGTTAATAATTAAAATATATTTAACTTACTTCTTCTGGAACCTAAGAATGGGGTCGGCAAATAAGTCACTGAGGTCTAGTCCTTTGCCCTTCTTCTTCAATTCAGGGTGTTTCCTAACTAAAAGCCAGCCGATGTGTGAAAAGAAGAAACCACGTGTGGCATTGTGAGGGTCGGCGTCAGTCTCTGAATATTTGTGATGCATGCGGTGATCACGTGACCAATCAATTGCAGAGTCCTGTAGAAGAAAGGAATACATATTTGAACTTAGTATTACGTATCTTATATCTAACAGATTTGTCATGCGTTTGAAAAAAATATGGCCTAATAAGTACTTATATTACATCGATTTGATTTATATTATTATACAATATTGCATTTTTTTTGCTTAGGTAATGTTGACCGCAATGATGCCACTATGGACAAACGGACTAACTATTGATAGTCCAGTCGTAGACCTATCTATGCACGCTCGACGTGATATCGCAGCATCGGATCATCTATCTACCTATATACTTATGGAATGGTGGACATTCATTGTATTTTCAGAGAAAAACAAAATGTCTTCATTTTGTTTGTAACTGAAGTTTTATTTTACGTATAATGTTTCTACTTAATTTATGTAACCTACACCTAACATAAAATAATATGTCCCTTGTGCAATTGATTGAAATAAACTGGTAGTATATATCGTTACTTAATCTAAATATACATTTTGTCATCTATTTGTTGTAACATTAATGTACCCATACCAAAAAGTTTTGTTAAAGTTCAGAGTAAAGGGACTCCCTTTACTCTGAACTTTAAACTTTAAACGATATATACTACCAGTTTATTTCAATCAATTGCACAATTTAACATGCCTATCTATAAGTAATTTATCATCAGCATCACTTAGCGGATTAAAATTATCTATTAGATAAATTGCAAATCGGTATGAATGTTATTAAGATTTTATGAGATATAAAACCCACGATAATTCATACAGCGCCATCTAGTGCAAAACTAAGACGAGTTTTAACAAAAGGTATTGTACAGTAACAGAAATTCTTAAAAATGTTTTTATATAAACATACACACTCCAAATACAAACATTCATAATCAAATGTTTGTAACGTGCGCGATTTAAACCCGTCATCGAAGTAAGGCGACACCGAGATTAACCGAGAATGATTTATTTCTTTAAACAAATTCTGTCTGTCATATACTTAAAAGGTCTGCCTTTTGTACTTTGTTATTTGTTTCATTAAAATTTATTTGTATTTGTGTACTTCTGTTGCAATAATTAATAATTTTAATCCCTAAATATAATTCGATATCTAAACCACCTAAATTTTAGCAGACAAAAGTAATCGTCTTAGTCTTATAATCTAAATTCTAAATAACAATAACTCTATCGATTGCAAGAATAATTAAACTCCTTAAAAAATATCACTCGAAGTGATAAAGCAGTCTAATATCATAATCTATACATATAAATAAAATTGGAGTGTCTGTTTGTAATACTGAAATAACCGTTTTTTAATACATGCATATAAATATAAATACGGTACATACACCAAAATATTTTTTACAATTTTTGTCTGTCTGTCTGTTCCGGCTAATCTCTGAATTGACCGGGCCTAATTGACGGGACTTTTATTGGCAGGCAACTAAAGTAATAAGTCATAGATAATATGCAATAAGTAACTAGCCTAAGTTAATTATTACTTATTACTACTTTTATTTTAGAAAAATCTCTACTTTTTTGTAAAATTCCACGCGGGCGAAGTCGCAGGTACAGCTAGTTTAATAATAAGAATAATAAGTAATTTATTATTGATTTATCTAACCCTATTAATATTAGTACGTGATATGCTATATTTAACATAAAAATTGATAACAATAATATTTTATGTAGAAAGTATATTTTGTAGTTACCTACATATTCTTGCTTAAATGGCTAAATGAATATTACAATAAAATTTAGTATACAATTCAAACTACATCTAGATAAAAGTTACTAAATAGTAACTGCTACAATTCTAGTTTAGTCACGAAACCTCCCGCACGGAAACTTTTTGCAAGAAAAGTTTCGTGCGATAAATTAATTAGAACAAAAAATATCCATTCTTAAATTATAAAAACAATCAGTTTTGTGTTTAGAATGTTATTTTTTTAAGATAATAATAACTCACCTGGAAAGCCAGAGTGTTAAATGCAACCAGGATGAGTCTTAGTGGCCATTTAGCTTTGTATGACTTGTGGGCCCACAGTCTATGAGCTCCTGCTGTGATTCCAAGGGCAGACATCACGTATAAAACGTACGCTGAAAAACATATTATTATGTGATCATGAATAACAAGTAACGCATATCTCAGGTGTCGTCTTGTAAGTGCTACTCTTGCCAATCGATTTAAATTAAATATGCCTAAGGGTAAATGCTAACAACGTATCATGAACATAGGACTGTATTATGTATATTAGTGGCCTGTCCGCAGAGTACTAATAATATTCTTAGTTTTGTATATATTAACATAGTCTAAATCCCGCGGGAATAATAAAATTAGCACTCTCTCTTATTACATGTAAATCCTAATTGTTACGATGATTTAAGAGCTTGACTAGATTTGAGGTTCTGATTTCAGTCAGATATGAAAATATATTAAGTAGCTGTTTAATTTACATGGCTGACACATTACTGTTTTAAGTCTTGTCATTTAGGTACAATACATTCTACTATAAATTTTGGTTGACTGCGATGACCAATATTTTAATCAACACTATAAACCTGAATTTTAAAGGTCGGATTAGAAAGTTACTATATTCTCTTCAGATCGCAACTGCATAGAAAGCACGAGAAAATAAGTTATAAGAACCCCATGTTCAATCAAAAAAATATCCAATGTTTTTTTAGATCGATAGCCTTAGCCTTAGATTGTTACTCTATCAGTTCAGTTCGATCTAAGAAGAACAGTTTGTAAGGAAATAAAAGAAAAATGGGGTATTTCAGGTAATTTGTCATTATCATAAAAATTATTCATGAACTTCAGGATTTCAGCTGAGGCAGAGAGAACAGAGGCACTGAATCTATATAACACCACGAAAACATTTTTGCTAAAATTTAGCTTCATAATTTTTAAAGATAAAATCCCGATCGTTAAGATTGTTTACCAAACATATATTTCATCATAAAATTCATATTCATCATGATAAGAACTAAGCAACAAACATATCAGTGACGTACTTACCAAATACATCAGTTTGCCATTTTGCGTGAAACAGGAATAGGTATCCTCCATACAACGCTGCCAAGTGGAGGTATGCGAAGAGGATAATGTTCCTCCATACATAAACTCTTGGATAATTATCTGCTTTTTCTACGGGGGGTGAGGCGAGAGCAAAATCTGCTGTGGCAGCATCACTCTCGAACAACACTCCGTTGATATCTGTGACGTTTGGTGCCATTTTGCACTGCTTTGTACACTGTAAAGGCATATGAATTAGATAATTTACTTCATGTAATTACACAATTGCATAATATTTATTTGCACTTGTACATTTTATTACTGACTTAATAAATTAATAAGGAGTTTAGGTATTATACACGTTAGATATTATGAAAAGATCTATGGTGTTAATATTTTCTGAGCTTTTTTTTCTAAACATTAATAACAGTTACATAAACATTAATAACACTTTATATTTTAAATATAAATTTATTGATTTAATAAAATAATAAGATTATATATATCAAAAATAAAGATATCGAGGACTAATAAAAACGACCTTATTATACTTTGTAATATTTACTACGTTTAATTAAATAAAATAAAGTAGAGAACACCCAGAAAACTTTTCAGGTTACAACACTAAATAATAATTTTATTCATATCATTTAACACAATCAGTAAATAATAATTTTATTTATATACAAATTTTGCTTAAACTAAAAAGTGTCTAATATTATATATATGTAATAAAATAAAATAATAAATATTTTTCCATTATAAACACTTACCTACCTCAAATGGTTGTAATCATAGAACTTTACCGTTTTCACTGTGCACACGTTAGCTAACGATAACGATATAATATGTTATGAAGATAAAATAAGTTTTCTACACATATTTATAGTTCAAAGATAAAATATGCGTATTAATTAGTCATGAGAAACCTGTAAAATAGATAAGTTCACGTGCTAGACTATGGACTACACGTACTTCAGCGGCCGCGGTCCATCCGTAAGATAGGGCGGAAATGCACAAGAAACTCAATGTAGAATGAAATTAATCTATCTGCAGTAGAAAATACCTCCTTGACATTTATGGCCTATTATTTAGTATCTACGTAAAATTTAGAGGTGTACCTAGATGCAGTTAGACTGTTAGCAATGTAATTTAGTACGGTTTTGTGGGTGCTAACTAGAGTTTTGAGTTTGAGATGTGTAAACAGATCAAACATAAAATATGCGCTTATAGAAATTATAAATTACTGCAGATTTCATAATCGATTAATTACACTCTAACATTTCCCTATAAACTGCCATTTTATTTTTAATTCTATCCATTCTATTCTGCCGGGTGACGCTCCACGTTACATTTGCTTGTACGGGGTCGCCACTCAAAACTTTTTTTTCAGCGTGAGACTGTGTACCTATTGTTGTTAATATTATATTATTGACGAATATTCCATATTAAACCACAAAATAAGTGCTTGTTTACATGTCGTGTTTAAAATATTGTTCTATTAAAGACCTTGAATACACGCAGTTAAGTATAAGTAATCTGTCTTCGTATTAAATATAGATTTATATATAAAAGACGTGACACTGACATCGTAAATTTAGAAACCTTGATACGTGGACGGATATGTAACGAATTCACGCAGCTGAAGCTGCATGAAATAGTAAATCAGTTGTTAAATAGGTTTTTTATTGTTCTATTATTTTGATATTACGATATTACGATGCAACTAAAAAAATATGTTGGAAAAAGAAACTCTAAATGTTTACCCAATGGTGTAACGGCATGCAATACAAATGCATGCATGCATGGTCCTTCGCAACGTCATAAATAAGTTTTTGTATCGTCAACGTGTTGGAGAATAGTGAAATTAAAAATTAATTACCTACTTTTCAATTTCTCTCCAATGTTAATTAACGAGAAACGTATAAACAACGAAAATGATTAAATTTAAATTAAGAAAAAAACTTAAACCATAAACGTTCATGTTTTTTCTAAAACGTTTATGGTTATAAATTATTTTAAAAATTGTTTTGAGATATTTATAACTTCGTTGTTTATATTCTTAATATTTAAAATTCTGATGACTAATTAGATTTGGCATGCTGACCTCTCTTTCCACAATATTACAACGTAAAACACGACATTACAGATGACTATACAATTTACTAACACAAACGATAACGTGTTTCATAATGAATTGTCGTATAAGAACACGTAGATCATACGTATACCTACTCGATATTAGTTTAGTGAGGCCGTCTGTCATCACACACTTGTGACGTGGTGATGAACCTAAGCAGAACAATAATATCAGATTTATGACGTAACAAATACCGCCGGTATCTGTGAGAACATTTTGCTCTTGCTATGTATCTAATGTTATATTTGACCCTACTTGGTTTTTTATTGTTTTAAAAATATTATGGGGATGATCAAATCGAAAAGAAATATAATATACTACATACATATAATATACACGTACATATAATATACCAGCTGTGCCTGCGCTTTCACCCACGTGAAATTTATACCTATATGTTATTCTGATATATATAGCGGTAAAGTTTCATTAATATCCGTTCAGTAGTTTTTGGGTGAAAGAGTAACAAACATCCATACTAAAAAACTTTCGCGTTTATAATAATAATAAGATGATTTAAGATCGATGTAAAGTATTTGATAACAAAACCAAGTATTATCTATTAACACCAACAGGCCAAGGGAAACGATTAATGATTTCTGATATCGATTTTTATAGTTCGACGTCGATATCGATGTTTTCTAATATTAATCATCCCCGAAGTATTAATTACTCGCCGACTAAGACTACTGTATCTATTGTATACTACCTATTATGAAATAAGGAGCTTTTTGACATGAGTTTGAGTATGTGTAGCTATGCAGTAGCCGTAGTAGTAGGTGTACAGTCGGATGCACGGACACGGGCAAGCAAAATATAAGAGATATTTTCATTTGCATAAAAGAACAAACAGTAGTGCAGTATAACAGTTCTTTGTGCCTAATAAATAAAATGGACATAATGTTTAGTAAAATAAAATAATAAACGTGATAATAATTATTGTATTAAATACCTCCCTGGAGAAATTAATTATCTGTGCCGATCTTCAAGTCAGTATTATCTAACTAATTTATGTCGTATGTAATACGTAATTAGTTACACCTACAAGATTCTTGAAATTATCTGTCAAAGATAATAATATGTCATTTAGATGATAGTACTTTTTACAATTTAAAATATGTAGTGCTTAGTGCAGTCCAATGAATCTATATTAATATATAATGCTGAAGAAACTTTATAATTTATTTAATAGCATCAATGTCTGCAACGGATATTCTTATTAAAAAATAAATATTTATATACTAATTCCTTAAGAAGATAAGGGTAGTTATAATTTGTTTATAAATTATAGTAACTATATATTAGAAATATAGATAGTATTGGTACCTATCGAACTATAATTTCTATGCAACCATCATGCTTTCTTTTCAGTCTGTGATTTGTGCTTTAGGCTATTTATTTGTTAATGTCTCCATAGTATGAAGTACTTGCCTACCTACTACATACAATAATATTTAACAATTTTAATGTAGGGAGGAGGACTCCCTCCTACTCGTTCTCTCTTCTCTTCTTACTCACTTCACTCCTTCGTACTCACGAACTACTAGGAGTATGGTTCCCATTGGTAGATACTAATATCGACTTCCATGCAGTCCTTTTGGATATCATTGTATTAATTCTCATTGGTGATGTGGTTCTAGCGTACATAAGTATTAGCGCTGGCGGGACCACTATTCCATCATCATTTACAAAAAATGTCATTCTCGCGCATTGGTCAAATATATAGATATTATTATGATAGGTAATAAATTTGGTTAGATTATGTTATTTAATTAATATGACTATCCATATAAATACTTACTATCTTTCCATCTATAGGTATATATTTATAAATCAGTACTTGATAAAAAGAAAACGTATCGAAGCTAATTTTTGTGTCACCTTTGATCACGGCCATGTTTTCGGTACAAAATACCGACCGTAAGTAACCTGCAAAGCTGTATTCTAAACGGAATGTTATTTATTGGCTTAATCCTGCCGCCCTATCCGTATGTAATTTAGTCTATTTGAGATGCTAATAATGTGGATTACTCTAGGGGAAGGATTTTTAAAATTGGTCACGTATTTCTTAGTTTATCCATTACAAAAAAATTATCTTTCCTATTTATAGTTAAGATAAAATACTCACAACATTATTATCCTGAGAATTTTGCATTAAACAATCGGGTACAAACTCACTTCGTATTAGAATGATTAAATTTTAAATTTTTGAGCATAGAACCTTTGAATACAGGTATGCATGTAACTGGAAATATTTTTAATGTATTAATAACATCAGCGGAGCGCTATTAGCAAGCTTATTACTGCAAAATTTCTTATTTATCCTCATACATCCTGTCTTTTTTTCTTGATGATAGCATATGATGCATAGGTAACGGTACACCCAAGTGAAGTAAAGGAAGATAGGATGATGGCGAATTCAACAACAACAACTACAATTCCTAACTACAAAATGATAATTTTGGTGTAAAAAATCTTTATGATAGAGATACTATAGATACATAGATGACTGTTACCGGTATAAAACTAACCAACGACTCAACATAATGACTCATATACCTAGACACTACAAAATTCTGTACAGACATACTATACAGAACTCCGTAGTATCTAGGTATTATGATGATGATGTCCTCCTTGTCGTAAATCCGACAACAGCGACTCACTAATGTTTCCTTCCATGCGTTCTTATGTGACTAGCAAAACCAAGTTTATTATATATATTGCATAACTCTGTTTACAGTGCGGAAAGAATTGTAGTATCTATATAAATGAAGGAACTTCTATTACTATCTTTTTTTGTTATATGTTTGACGGAAATAGGTAAATTTCATTATTTAATCATTTCTTAGAAGAATACAAAAATTATTATACTTTCCCGTATGTGTTTAAGCCGTAGTCGGCCTACTTGCGATAACAAAAACACATTGTAGATAAGTGTAAAGCTTAGCGTAGATACTGACGCCGCCCTACACAAAGGGGATGGTGGAACTTTTTGCTGTAATCATAATTCAAATAGCTGAGCTGTTGATTGAATTCTAATTTACTAGGTATGTAGGTAAAATGCTTCTAATTTATACAGCTCATAAGTGTAGATATATCTACACTTAATTTCACCAAACGACAAGAAATCAACATGTATCTTACTCGTATCCTCTGCAATCGATCAATCCAAACGGGGATCGAAATTACGACGGCCTGAGCCGAGGTTAGAACCCTCGAATAGCGTATCCCTCAGACTAAAGTCGTATCCGTCAGGCGGGAGTTGGCTTTCAGCCGCTCCATGAGTCAATCCGCGCGTTTTGGAGTACCATCTGCACTCCCTATCGTCTGATGAAGCTGTAACGGCCTGCTGTGATTAACAGCATTAGAGTAGTCCGAAAAAAAACAGAATAATCTTAATATGTATTGTAATACATATTAAGATATCTGTTTTTTTTCGGACTGTAGTGTAGTCACGTGCATTACTAGTAGTGCACGTGGCTAAAATGTACTAACACATAATTGTATTATTAAGATGAAATCGATTGCGTAAGGGAGCTCATCATGATTAGTGTGATGTATCAAAACAACACAAGTTTTTACATCAGTTTACATATCAATATTTATATCTACTAAGTATAAATAAATGACAGTTATCATTGCTAATTATGTGAACGTCAGCTTGTTATTATTAACTACTTAGTTAACTACCAATGCTCGC